ACATAATGGGGAAGGAATAATAAGATTCTCACTAAAGTCTATATAAACAAATGGTATTGGGGAATAAGAATAGAAAAGAATACATCATCTAATCTAAGAGGCAATTTCCATCCCATTTGAATATTAACATATTGGATATATAAAATCTTGTAATCAAAATGGAATCATTTGACAATATTAATTCAACTTTAACTATCATTAATTTGGGACTAATTAGAAGATTAATGCCCTTTAAGAGAGCATATAGTCATTTTTTAAACCCCACTTAATTGTAATGTAGCTTCCATTCATAAATTCCTCTAATTAAATGTTATTGGCGTGCTTTATAATCACCTAATTATGTTGATTAGTGCCCATAATCCAATAACTTCTTAGTCTCCTTCATCTGAAATCTCCAAAAGATTGCAATGAATATATTTACAATTAGTTTATACAAAAATGTGGAATCAAGATCTATATGTGTGTGTGTGTGTGTGTGTGTCTATATATATATATATATATATATATATATAAAATTTAAAGTAAACTCAAATGATTGTTGTTTGAGTTCAAAGACTTCAAAGTATTTCTTTTAAGGTATGAGTGTACGGTTTAGGCTGGTGTCATACCAGCTACGACGACATAAAATAATGTTGGACTTCGATGGATGATTAAAATATGTTAAAACGTTGAATAAATTGCAATGAAAGTTAAAAATTTATTAAAAATTCAGAACCTATTCAAATTTGCAAGTGACGAAATGATTGTGTGATATGTCCAAGTTTTAAAAAGTAGATTCTTTCCCTGAAAACTTTTGGCAAATGAATGAAGTTTTCCATGTTCTTTCATTGTTCACTATAGTTCGAAGACGACATTGACTGTTTATCTCCCATGCACAAACATATAACCTTTAGTTGCCTTTTATGACTGGCGCAAACGAAGTTGAGATCTGTTGTCAATTTTTATTGTCTAATTTATCGTTCACTCAATTGTAAATGAACACATTATGAATAATTAAATTTAATAATTTTTCAACCTTGACATTAATTTTAGTTTTTCCTTATGTGTCAATTTACAATTGAGTGGACATCAAATTGAAGAGTATAAATGGACAACAGATTTCAACTCGTGCAGGTGATACAATAGATCCACTTTTCTAAATAAAAGTATATTACTACAATATTGATAATACGCTAGCTTATTTGGTGAGTAAGAATTTACATGATCGATTTGTATTTTAAAAAAAATATCGTGAAAAAAGTATAAAAAATAAAAATATTATGTCAACATTTTCTTTTACTTTAATGTGGGAAGTTGATTTAAGATGCTAGTGGCTTGAATGATTGATGATACAAGTTTTTCGAAGTTTCCTAGGTGCTTTAAAGCCTTTATTTATTTACAATAGATCCACTTTTCTAAATAAAAGTATATTACTACAATATTGATAATACGCTAGCTTATTTGGTGAGTAAGAATTTACATGATCGATTTGTATTTTAAAAAAAATATCGTGAAAAAAGTATAAAAAATAAAAATATTATGTCAACATTTTCTTTTACTTTAATGTGGGAAGTTGATTTAAGATGCTAGTGGCTTGAATGATTGATGATACAAGTTTTTCGAAGTTTCCTAGGTGCTTTAAAGCCTTTATTTATTTACTTTTTCAATAAGAATAAGGGTTTGTTTGAGCCACATTATTTTAAAAAATACATTCTTTAATAGTGATTTGATATCATTTCAATCACACATTCTTCAATAAAATAATATTACACGTAAATCTAAAAGTTTTCCTTATTTTTTAACCACACATTTTCCATTGATTTGACATAAATAATGCATTTTTTTCCTGGAATGTGGCTCAAACATGGGCTAAATATCTATGTATTTTTCTTTTGTGTGCGTTTGAATTAAATGAAAAAAGGACACACTTTTAAATTTTGCACAGAACATCCAAACTTTAAAGACAAACTATCTAATGGCTTATTAATGAATTAATCATCCAAGATTGATTAATTTTACACCTTTATTCACATGGGCAACATGCTATTTTCAAATTGAATCTACTATCATCAGCATATTTTGTACATAGGATTTGTTAAGATCCGGGTTTCTATCTTAAAAGTCAACATTGTTAAAAGGAGTAATCAAATTCTTTATAATTTGGTCTATATTTTTATCTTTATTCGATGTGAAATTTCATCTCCTAACATGTCACCGCAAGATGGTCTTGAAATCCGTATGCTCATTTATCGAGCCTTAATCAGATCGAATCGCTCGTTGAAACTTAATGGACTTTGATACCATGTTAAGACTTGGGGTTCCATTTTAAAATATTAACATTGTTAAAAGGAGTAGTCAAATTTTTTATAAATTGGTCTACTTTTTCATCTTTATTCGATGGGAGATTTTATCCCTTAGCAGAATTTACTCACTATTTAATGTTAATATTGTTCACTACAATCTAATTTATGTGATAAATGTGTTGCAAATTTTGAAATGTATTACATGAAATTTCTTTGAAGAAGGTTGTGATGAACAATGAATAAACTTGGGAATTTTAGTTGATTATGAATTGTTTCCTCGTCGAATGTATTTATGTTAATGAATCATTTAGATTAAATTAAGGTTCAATAAGCAGTATATTGAAACCCAAGCAACCCTCCATGTGCACTACCTTTATTTTTGTTGCCGTGTTTGATAGGTTATATTTATAAAATTAAATATTAATAATTGATAAATTTTGTTATACGTCCATTGTCATAATTCGTTCAGTTCAATTTAATGTGTCAAAAACACATGTATTGTGTTTCCTTAATAAAATGATACATGGAAAGAGTGATTGTTGTTCACAAGAGATGAACTTTCTTTAGTAGTCTCTTGAAATTTTAATGCTCCTATTGAAATTTAGCGAATTCAAGGTCGAGGTAACATTCATATCAAGCCAGTGAGTCGTTTGAGAATACCATTTTCGAAATTCGACGATGAGTTGTAAATAAATGAATTGTTCGTTTGATTTTTTGAACCCTGACATCCTTCTTATGTTAGTCTTCTTAAGAGAATTAGTCAAAATTTGTATATCTCGATTACTATACATTTACCCTTTATTAATAGAATTTTATCTGAACAAGAAAGTTCAAAGTAGTAGAAAAATGCTACATCATCTAACATAACAATTGAATATTTCATTAAAAAGAGGGTATTAATCGTCTTAATTTAAGAAGTATTTACAGTATATACCTTAGGAGGCATTTGGTAAAACTATTTTCAACTGTTTTCAATTTTGAAAAACATCAAAAAATTTGTTTAATCTGAAATAAATTTCTAAAAGAAAAATGCTAAATGGCCAAGGTCATTTGCACAGACCCTGGCCATTTAGCATTTCTCTTTCTGAAATTAAAATTTTCAGATTGAGGTTAAACTTATAACATAAAAATTAAAATGTATTTTTGACATTTTAAATATTTTCAATGAAAACATTGAGAACACTCAAACACATGGAAAAACAATAGTTTAAAGAAAATTCTTAAAAAATATCTAAATTAAAAAAAATTATTGAAAAAATAAATTCTGAATTCTCGAAAAAAAAGCTGTAAAATTAAATTCGAAAAAAATATTTAAAAAAATTTTTTTTTATAGAAAAATTAAAATTATAGAAAGATAAAAATTGTAAAAAAATAAAAAATAAAAAAAGTCCAAATTCTTATTACGCAATAAAATACTGTAAAAATTTACGAACTTTAAGTATATATTATTTGATAATATAATAATATAGAATTTTTCTATTTTACTGAATCATTAAACTTAATAGATAAAATGTAATATAATAATTTCAAAAAAAAAACATATTTTTTCAATTTTTCGGTTTTGCGAAATAATTTTTCAGAATAACAAATCAAACGAATTTTTGACAATCTTCAAATAAACTCTTGAAACAAAAATAGAAATTGAAAATGAACTCAAAACTAACACTTGAAACACAAACTAAATAGTCCCTAAGTGGCTAAGAATTATTAGTTTAACAAGAAAACAAAATAGCAAATATGTGTATGATTTTTTTATTCCCAACAAAAATGAGATAAATTAAACGACTCAATTTTAGATTTATTTAATTAATTACCAAGTCATCCAGCCTTTTTAGTTTTTACCCAAAATTTTTTGAAGTCTAAAACTTTAATTCTTAGCAAGGAAAGCTATATATATATATACCGACTTTATCCAATACGAGATACTACTAGATGACTCGAACGAAAAGGTAAGTATCCGAAGACGTGCTCCGAGGTTCCATTCCACACAACTTGAAGCAAAACTTTAATTTGATCATTAAAGTTAAGTTTTTTGTTTCAATCAAGTCATGACATAAAATTTTATAATCCTCTCTGATAAATTTTCGTTCGACAAAGTCAAATTCTAACAATAATAGAATTCATGAAGGCGAAAAAAAAAAAGAATGAGGAGGAAGAAAACAAAAGGAGTATTATTTACCAGTAAGGATCACGGTTCTTTGAATACGTCTCATCCGATGATAAAGGCTCTACAGATTTTTATTTTAAAAATGAAGAAAGCCTCGAAAGCAAAGGAAATGATGATAATTTATATCGTTGATTCTAGAAATGTTAGTTGGAAGTCATGTAAGAATTCACCTTTTACATTGAATAGAGTTTGACACTTCCAAATTGTGATTTTTTTAAGTTCATTACTTTAAGATAAAATAATTGAAAAACTAATACGATAACTTTTACATATATACACGAAAATAATCTTCTAAACATCGGTATTTAACTTATGTTAAGCAACGATGATAAGACACATCATTTAATTGGTGAATAAGTTAATGAATAGTCCTATGTATTTAATGAGTCACCAATTAAATTGTGTAACATGTCATCGATACTTAATTTAAGCTAAGCAGTGTTTAGGTGATCATTACTGATATAAAAGAAAACTTAGTTAAATAAATGAATTAACACTCACCCGCCAATGAAAATATTAATGATAAACATCGTATAGTTCAGAATCTCAGCTTGTTTCATACGTAAGAAGGGAGGACAAAAAACATGTATGTATAGAGAGAGAAGGGCGAAAGGAAAGCGGTTTTGGGGATTTGGTTATTATTCAGGGATGCTGTGTGGCTGAAAGAGAGAAGGATTTGAAGCAAAAACAGAAACTGGTGACAAAGAGGTGGTTTTGGTTTGTGAAGCGACAAAAGCAAGAGCGGTTTTGTAACTGAAAAAGTGAGAGAAAAATCAGCTGTAGGGACATTTTTTAAGCATTACACACCAAATTCTACTCTTCAATGCTGATACACAAAGCCTCTCTCCTCATCTGTACATGAAAATTTATGTATCTACATAAATATAGAGACAGAATCTAAATTACAGAATGCATGAAGGAGGAATTGATTAAGTGGGTTTTTGTTTGGATTATCGATTGAGAGAGTAGGCTGAAGTGCGTGGCAGCGTGAGAGGATCGTTTCTTTCTTCTTCAAGATTCAAGCTTTTTTCCTTCTCTTTTTTTCTGTTCATTTCTATGATTTTAGTACAAAACATTGTATATATTTAGAACCGATCAAAACTTTTATCCTCTTAGTCTTTCTTTCTTTCCTTCCTTCCTTTCGACTTTAAATGGCGCATGCTGATGGCGTCGCAGCAGGAGGAGTCTCTCATGGTACAGGTGAGAATTCATTTATTTATATTGTGGGTTTTGTGAACTCCAGTTTAAATTTCTGTTCAAACACTAGAAAAATTCAGATGAGAAACAGAGAACACAAAATTTGGAAGTTTCTCAATGATTTGTTTTAAGTTTTTTACTTATCTGGTGTATTATTTGTACCCCTCTACCTTCCCTTATTTCTGTGCAAAATAAGCACTTTTAGACTTCTAGATTACTATTATATGTTCCTTTGGTTGATTTGTGTTTGGTAGGTGTACAAAGTGATGATCTGTATAGGGAATTATGGAGGGCATGTGCAGGACCTTTAATGGATGTTCCCTGTAACGGAGAAAGAGTTTATTACTTTCCACAGGGTCACTTGGAACAAGTAGGCGATTCTCATTTCTCTTAAGAGATTGTTTTTGATTTGTATTTTGATCGTTGCATATTCAATTTTTCAGTTAGAGGCATCGACTAATCTGGAGTTGAATCAACAAATCCCTCAGTTCAATCTTCCTTCGAAGATCCTTTGTCGTGTTTGTCATGTTCATTTACTGGTATGTGAAATTCTTCTGATTTCTGGTTTTCTCCCCTCTTTGATTCCTTGAGGACAAAAAAAGTGCTTTATTCTTATATGTTTTTGTTTCAACTGATAGACTGAACGAGATACAGATGAAGTTTATGCCCAGATCACTTTACACCCGGAACCAGATGTAAGCAGTTTGCCTCATTAGTATCGCTTACACACATACACACACACATTAGTCCTCTTTAAAATATGGAATGTTTTGAGTGGATTAAGTGTGAAATTTAATGATGTTCTTGTTCTTCACTCCTTTTTGATGTTGGGAAGAATATAATTTTGTTAACATTTGTGAATAATTCTTGTAGAGTACTGAGCCCATCAGTCCTGACTCATGTCCTCCCGAACCACCAAGGCCAATAGTTCACTCTTTCTGTAAGACATTGACACCTTCTGATACTAGCACTCATGGAGGATTTTCTGTTCTTCGGAAGCATGCCCTCGAATGCCTGCCTCAATTGGTAGGCAATTACTTTTCATTCTCTTTTGTTATCGTAAAATTTGAGAATATTAATAATAATGATGACGCGATCTTGCTTGATTTATTAAGTACCTCGTCCACATAATGCACTCCACGGAAGATGATACGAAGGCAAATAGGCCAAAATATGAGATTAGTGAACTTCCAATTGCACATTTGTGCAGTGCATATCTGAACAATCATAGATTGAAAGCTCAGGGTTATTTTTTGCTTGATTTCTTCAATTCTTGCAAGTTTCCGAAGTTTTTACAGTCAATTTTTTATATTCTATTTAAATGTTATTTTATCAAGCGTTTGAAATATTCTGATATATGAGATGCTATTTGTGATTCCTAAGGATATGAGTCAAGCAACCCCTACCCAGGATTTGGTTGCTAAAGATCTTCATGGATATGAGTGGCGATTTAAACATATATTTCGAGGTAATAGTAAAATATCTTTTATTTATAATACAGTAGAATTTACTGTTTGTATCGAATTAATTAAATGAGTGCTCATCAAACTTGTACCCAATTTACTACTTGCTCATTAATCTTTAAATGATTACTCAATGCACAATGAACTATTTATAGCTTTACACAATGCTCATCATAGCTAATTTCATCTATATGGCTAGACAAATATGTCTGCATAATGAATAAAAAAAAAATGATGTGGCATATGAATCATATCCACCTAATACATTTTTATTTTTATTTTTTATTTTTTGTGTAAAAAATTCCATTAGTTTTCTCCAAATTCTCAAACGGCTCCATTCTCAGATCACCTTCGTCCCCAAGTCATCTTTTTCCACAAATCACATTCTTCTCCTTGACAAGAACATTTCTTCTGTTGTTGGGGATTTTTGCCATTAGGTGTTTCGATGGAGAATTTGGAGAAAAATCGAGGTGCAGCTTCGTGGTGGACCGTGTTTTCACCTATGTTTACTTCCTCACAAATGGGGGGATGCAACTACTGCAAATAATAAGGTTGGGCAGAAGAGCTCAGCTTCTAGAGTATACGTTGATAATGACGATGATATTGTGGAACTCTCGAACTCGAGCGAGTCTGATGTTTATTGGAAGAAAAATATGGATATGAAGAAAAAGAGAAAGAAGAAGAAAGTGAATAGTGTCAAAGGTAAAGGAGCTGGTGGGAAGCCAAATAAAAATGTGAATGTACAAGATGAACTTGTATCTGCACAAGAGGCGGAAACGCCTAATAATCAATGGAAAAATCGAGCAAGAGGGTCTAGAACTAATGCACGGAAGCAACTTGGGAGAGTTGCAAAGAACTTTGAGAAGTTGGATTTGAATGTGGAATTTAGCAATAAACTTGAAGAGCTTACTCTCATGGTGAACCAAGGAATTGATCAGTATGTGGGGAGGATGACAACATGGAAGGGATTGGGTTTTTGATGAATTCCCAAGCAGTCTTCCAATTCCAAAAAAGAAAAAAAGAAGTAAAAAGAAAAAATAAAAAATTCTATGTGACCTGGGAATCAAAGAAGCAGATTACAGGCACAGGAGAGGAGGGTGATTTGGGATGATTTTGGGAAGAAGATGATTTGAGAATGGAGCTGTTTAAAAATTTTGAGGAAGTTACATGGAATATAATAAACGAAAAAAAAAGGGTGGATATTATTAATGTGCCACCTCATTTTTTTATTTGCCATGTAGACATATTTATCCAACTTTATGCATGTAATGAACTACGATGAGCATTGAGTAAAGTAATAAATAGGTCAGTGAGCATTGAGTAACCATTTAAAATTTAGTGAGCAAATAGTAACCTAGGTATAAGTTCGGTGAGCACTCACTTAATTAACTCGTTTTTATCATCTATCTAGGTTGAGAACAGAAGATTGAGTTTGCAAACCTATCCATTGCAAAGATAATCCATTCGGAACTATTGCATGTTTAGTTCACGGTTTTGGATAAGACTCGATAGTATGATGGGCTATATTTTAATTTATTTATCTTCTTTAATACTATTTGATACGATCGAGTCCTCTCTACTTAACGTGCCACCATATAATCCCTATTACACCCTTACATGGAAGCCAATTGCATGCGATCAGGTCAACCTCGGAGACACTTACTCACAACTGGATGGAGTATGTTTGTCACCTCCAAGAGATTAGTTGCAGGCGATACTTTTGTTTTGTTGAGGTAGTTTTCGGTTCTTCCCTTCGACCTTCACCTTTTATTTCGACTATCAATGCATTGTGGCCTTAATAATGTGAATTACCGCTACTGTATTACAGGGGTGAAAATGGGGAACTGCGTGTTGGAGTTCGACGTGTTGCTCAACAGCAGAGCTATATGCCACCTTCTGTAATTTCCAGCCAAAGCATGCATCTCGGAGTGCTTGCTACTGCCTCACATGCTATTACAACACAAACGCTGTTTGTGGTGTATTGCAAACCAAGGTATGGCACTGTCTCTCTTTCTTCGTAAATTTGACATGAATTCTCCACCATTTTACAACTCTAGCTTTGTTTATTGTATGAGCGATCAGGACGAGCCAATTCATTATTCGATTGAACAAATATTTAGAAGCCATACATCATGAATTTTCAGTAGGCATGCGTGTGAAGATGAAATACATAGAAGAAGATTCTCCTGAGCGAAGGTTCCTCATTCGTTTTCTGTTCTCTGCTGTTTTTGGTACTTTGAAGCTTATAAAATCTCAATGTTGATTCAATTCATGTCCATCTTTCCAGGTGCATAGGCACTATTGTTGGTGTTGAAGATATCTCTCCGCAGTGGAAAGACTCTGAATGGCGCTCATTGAAGGTTAAAAACCGTCTTTAAGTTCTGTCTCCTGTATAATATATTGATATGTTCTTGCTTATCCTCTCATAATATTTTTATTTTCCAAATTATTTCTCCTTGTAGATTCAATGGGACGAACCAGCAACCGTGCTGCGGCCAGATAGGGTCTCGCCATGGGAGATAGAGACTTTTGTAGCTTCTACTTTTGTAGACATTGCACCACCAGCAACAAAAATCAAAAGACTTCGCCCTCTCAATCTGCCACGTGCTGGTATATTTACATTATTGCCTTTACACCATTTAATTGAACCAACTATGATAATCCTTAAGCCCTAATCCCAGTCCCGAGAGCAATAACGAACAAAACAAGAAATAGAAACAAACTCACAGAAACGCTGTTCAATTCACCCTTAGTCTGAGAGTTACGTCTACTTGTGTGGTCCGAACATGTGAATGTTCAATGTACCCCCACAATAATGAAGAATATAATTATGATCTACACATCTAACAAACTTGTGGTGGCAATTGTAACATAGAAACTACAGACACTTACGCTACATCTCTTCTCTGATATGCAGGATCATCTGTATCCGTTGACTTAAGCCACATCGGTAATACCACTGAAGTCCAAACCAATGAAAACCAAGCTTTTCAACCTCCAAAGGTGAATTGCAATGCTCCCAACAACAGCGGCTTCTGTAGTTCTGGATCCCACACTGGTGGAATGCGGCCACCTACTTTGCTTTTGAATGGTTCTCTAAACCTTTTTCGAGAATCTACGGAAGATAATAAAAATGTGGCAGTCCAACTTGTTCTTTCCGATTGTAACTCTCCTGTCTCATCAAGAGCAAGCGACCATTTCCTTGAACAAGCTGAAAGCAGTAAAAAGTATGAGAATTCTTCAGTCTGCCGGTTATTTGGTGTTGATTTGAGGAACAGTTCATATATTATCCCACCAGCAGAGAAGGTAGTGCCATGTCCAAACATCGATGTCCAGGATCCGAGTTATAGATCAGAAGCCAATTGGATGAAAAATCCCGAAGCATCGAATAAAAAACAATGTCTCGAAGTGGAGGGGCTATGGAAGGATACACAGATCAAACAAAATTTTGCTTCATCTTCAAGAACCCGTATAAAGGTGAGTTCACCTTATTAGATGAATTTCGAAATTTGTGATTTAAGAACTAATTCTGAAAGTTAACCATTCGTTTTATTTTTAGGTGCAAATGCAAGGGATTGCCGTTGGACGTGCTGTGGACTTGACTACATTGATGGGTTACGATGACCTTATTAACGAGCTGGAGAAAATGTTCGAGCTTAAAGGAGAACTTCATCCTCGAAACAAATGGGAAATAGCTTACACAGATAATGAGGGGGACATGATGCTCGTAGGCGATGATTCATGGCCGTGTGTAGCTTGAACCTCTTGATTATCGACATTTAAGTTTCATCAGATAATTTTAACACTTATTCTTTTTACTCTTGATTCATTTCAGGGACTTTTGTAAGATGGTCAGGAGAATTTGCATCTGTTCAAAGGAGGAAGTGAAGCAAATGAAATCGACTTTCAAATTTCCGTGTTTGTCTCTAGATGGTGAAGGCACAATACCAAGCTTAGATTCAGAGCCAAAACCTGAAGCATAAGTTTTGAATCTGTAAAATATGTAGACATGTTTTCTTAATATGGCAAACTAATTATTTGTCTGAATTTTCCGTTTATATTTGTCTTGTCAGAAATGGGAATAAAGCTTCCTCATTTCTTAGCTCTGCTTAATCTGGCAGTTTATACCTATTTATCCAAAACTGTTTCGGCCTTCTTTTTGGTAACACACAATCGACAACAATTAAGAAAGAAGGTTAATTGAGTGTTATTATTCTTTTCGGTAAAAAGGGCGTTTTTACACACTTATTATTCTTGCTAAACTATGGTTAATTGAGTAGATTTCTACCAACTTTAGTGTAATATGTTAAATGTAGTTGAAATTCGGACTAGATACATTTGGAGTGAAAGGAAGGTTTTTGAATTTAATGGGAGATTATTAGGAGCAATTAAGGATTAATTGGATTGTATGGGATCGATAAAAAGAATTAAGAGAGAGCGGAAGAAAAATGCAAGTTTCGAGAGCGAAATTCGACTTTGTAAGAGTTTAGGGACTAAATTACATACTTGGAAAAATTAAAATGGACCAAATTTTGTAATTATGGAGGTTAGGGGACCAACATGAAAGCGTTGGAAGTAATGGAGTCAAAATTGAAGATTAGGATAAAAAGGACAAAAATCAGACAAAAACTTAATTTGGGGACAAAATTGAAACTCTCTGAAAAGTTTGGGATTGATGGTCGTCAACCGTGGTTTGCAAACCGCGTCTGGACCGCAGTCTCTGTTTTGCCATCACGGCCCGGTCCATTTTGCTATTTTTAATTTTTATACTGTTTTTGACTTTTTTTTCTTTTTAATTTGTTTTGATCCGTTTTTTGAAGTACAATTCCCAAAAGTCTTCCACCCCGCATAAGTTGACTTTGTTTCGGTTATAAAAGAAGGTTACACCATATAAAATTAGGGACAGAATTAGAGAGAAAGGGGAGAGAAAAATCACTTCAAGAATCAAGAAATTAGGATTTTGAAGTACTTGGCTTGGAAGAAGAAGATTTTTGGTATAAGATCATCAACTTTTCATCATTTTTCGTTCGATATCCATTAATTACTATCAAAATTTAGTCTTTGAGATCAAGAGGATAATTATGGTGATTAACTCGTGAATTTACTTTAACCATCATATAAAAATCCTAAATTATCCACTTTCAAATTTTAAATTGTTTTCGTATATTTATAAAATTTAGTATTAAAAAAAAAATTTAATTATTTTTATTCGAATTGGAGTTAAAAATAGTTCAATCAACTGTTAAGTATAAGATTTCGTACGAACAATAATTGATAATTCAGACTCTTAAACCCATTTTATTACTTACTGATAAATATCATACACTTACGATACAAAATATTTACAACAATGGGCATATTTTAGAAATGATTAAAAGACTTTTTTCTTGGCTTGGCTTAAAAATCAATCTACAGTGTAGAGTGGCGAAGGACATTTAGGCATCTTTTTGCAAATAATACTATAAGTACAGAAAAAATCAACAAAAATTTTACAGAATGAACACTTGGAGAGTTTCTATTGAAAAAAAAAAAAAAAAAATTGTTCCATTTTGTGATATTTGTATCAATTTCTCATTATTAATAGGCGCTTTAGGCCAGTTTGTAGAGGCCAGGTGGATCCACGAATAAGCGAAGACCGGCCCTGGCCTAAGTGAGTGGAAACACTTCGATTCTGAACCTAAAAATATATTTTGTGCTCAAATTGAATTCCGTGTTCATATATATTCTTTCCGTCCCATAAAGATAGATTATTTCTATTTCATCTGTTTTAAATTATAGATTACTTTCTTAATAAGAGTATAGTTAATTTATTAGTTTTCTAGTATATCTCTATTTAATGTCTTATTATCAATAGGGACGGCGACGGGGTGAGTTCGCCTCCAAACCTTGCCCTAACCCGCCTTAGACTGGGCGGTGGCTTGCCTCGTTTGCCGCCCTTTTTATTTTTTATTTATTTATTATTTTTATTTTTTTCTCTTCACGGGTACAAATTCGAGACGGGGCATCCCCACCCCGCCTATCGATGAGGGCTTTTTCCACCCCATGCGGGAGCGGGACAAATTGTCATCCCTAATTATCAACAAATATAAACTATACATATTTAAATCGTTATTTAATGTAGGAGTATTTTGGAAAACAATGTATGAAATTTTATATTTTCAACTATATTAATTATATTTTCTTAATCTATGTGAAAATGGAAACAAATTTATCTTTGTGGAACTAATGAAATTATAAAAAAATCGATTATTTCGAGTCATTCTTGTGGGATATGTATTCATCAAATTTAGTACACATTTAATTTAGTTATCGGAGGAATCGTACGGTGATATGAAGCTCATGTTAAACTCATTTTTTCTCCAAATTTATTTTTAACTATACATTTTTTTAGTAAAATAATTTTATACATAAATTCGATTTTCTTTTTCACAATGGGGTCCACGTTCTAACACTGGAATACTTGCGTTGACTGTTACATTAGGACACCTGTTTGAGATAAATGTCATAATAAATTGGCAATGATGTTTGTTCATTAATGGGAAAAAACTTTTAGAAAGATGACAAAAAATTCCAATAAAGTTTAGCTTGCTTATTTGAATTGCATTATGCTGTCTGTATTGACTCAGTTCAGACATAAAGACACTGCTTATGATGAGTCCACTGAGGTGCAGTCTCTTTGGTCATTAAAAATAATTGCAACGTTTTAAATGACAGTGGATTAATAAATTTGAACCAATTTTTATTTTTTTTGTTTAATTAATTAAAATATTTGTTGGAAACAAGACATTATTTTCATCAAACCTGACGAGAATTTCTGGTTTATATAGACATTTTTGCACTTTTGCACTAATTTTGAAATATTTAGAATTATTCTTAAATTAGACAAAATCTACATAGCTTTTATTCTATTTAGACATTCTAATTTATCCCTACTACTAGTCTAGAGAACATTGTGATAAAATTACAATCATTTTACAGAATTAATTATTTCAACGATCACTGAACTCAGGCTCATTTCTTTGATTGATCATTGAAGTTTAAAATATTGAGTTTTGATCACTAAACTTAGATTCATGTCTTCGATTGCGCACTGAAATTTAAAATGTTGAGTTTTAGTCATTGAACTTTGAAAAATATTATACGTTCATTACTAATATAAATGGTGAACCTTGCTATTTGAAAAATGTCAAATTTACAGTGAATAAGGTACAATATTTTTTCAAAATTCAATGGTCAAAATTGGACATTTTAAATTTCAGGAAGTAATTGAAGACGTAGATATAAATTCAGTGACCAAAACTCAACCTCGGTTCAGTGACCACTAGAACAATCAACTCCGTTTTACAAGACTAAGTGACCATATTTAATAAATTATGATGAAAGAAATTTGTCATTTGAACAAAAAATTCACCAGATAGAAAAATTTCCCATAGGAGGGATGATCTTGCACCCATTTATGATGTGTGAGTATGGAAAAATTACAAAATTTTGATTGTGGATCAAGTTGCAACAAAGAGTAATATATGGAGACCTATGATGCAAATTTCTCTTTACAAATGACATGACTTGTTTTTGTGCAGGCGTAGCAGGTAAAGTCCAAAATCCATTCATGAAAACAGCTGACATTTCATTTTCAACTGCACAATAGAATCCAATGCTTTTAAGTACAGAAGAAAAAAAAAAAAAAAAGGCTGGAAAATGTAAAGAGAAATCTATATCTATGGCTAAATCCATAAATTCTCAACATTGATATAAACAAAAAATATTATGTAATCCCAAATTCAGTTCTTCCCAGCATTTCTTCAATCCCCTGTTATCGTCTTAGGAACACGATGCTAGAAAAGAAGTAAAAAGTAACTTTTTTAGAGTTAAAAAAACCCACTTAAGCATTTAAACTCAGCCAAACATGCTCTAGATTAGATCACTAATAAAGTATTAACAGTGAAATCTCCAAGTAATGTAGAAGTACCTGCTTTTTCTCGTCTCCATCTACAAATAGCCTGCTTCATCCTTTCACTCTTCACCCCTCCTGGGCCTGTAAAAACTAAAAACATCATCAAAATTCACACAACTCTCCCACTTCCCCCCAAACACAAACAAGAAAAAAATTATGGGATCAAACGGTGAAGAAAAGCCAAGTTTCACACCAAAGATTCGACAATTACCAGCCACGGATTCACCTAAGCATTCGGGAACAGAAACTCCACCACTGCAGACTCCGGCGTCTGTGCCATTCCAGTGGGAGGAAGAGCCAGGCAAGCCAAGACCCTGTACTGCTCTCATTATCTTACCCAGTTCCAATGCAGAACCCAAATGCTTGGATCTTCCTCCCAGACTGTTCATGGAATCCTACACCAAAGTCACTAAAACAACCGATGAGCCTTATCTGGAGAGGCCTAAATTTTCTTCATTCAGATATTTGAGTGCAAATCCTGAGAAAGGGGAGCTTAATGATATGGTTCTTAGCAAGAAGTGGCAAAAAGGAAAAGGTTTCCTTGATTCTTTGGGACTAAGGACTCCTACATGGAAAAATGAAGTTGATGGGGGTACTTCTGTATTTTCATCCTTCAGCAGCTGTGACAGTGATGAGAGTGCAAATACAGAGGTGAAAACTGTCAAACTGGGAAGGAAAGAGAGCTTTTCCAGCCTCCCACAGACTAGGTCTCACTCTTCCCTGTGGGTAAGCTGCTTTTTATTTCATTCAGTAATTTTTTAAGCATAGTATCGAATCGTAGCTCATTAAGTTCAAACAAGCAATTTGGTCCGTTATAACTTAAATGCGCATTTGAATCTATGATTAATGTACTCGAGGGGGTAATATCGATTAAAGTGTGACAAAAGTTTCCATGATCATTCAATTGATATGTCTTTTGCATTGTGCTTACAGGCAGCCATATGTGAAGGTTTGAAGCAAGTAATGCCATGGAAGAATAGACAATCAAAGAAACAAGTTGTCAATGTCTAGCTTTTTCGACTACAGCGTGATAAATGCTGTAATGCACAATGCTGCCAGTAGCTGTATCTGAATTTAATTGCATGTTTGGTGAAGTGAAATGACTAATGATTGTATTAGTGAAGAAATATAAGTTAAAATTTAGTTTATTCAAATATTGTACAGTTTAGTACTATATACCTAATGCATTTGAAATTCTCCACACGCGCTTTAATGCATATTTGATAAGTTGAATTGGTAAATATTGAATAAAACGTGTTAAGATTTGGGGTCCATCTTAATAAGGTCAACCTATTTAAGAGAAGTGGTCCAAGATCTATTTAAGTTGGTCAATATTTCGGTATTTAATCGATGTAGGATTTATTCCCTTAACATGCTCCCACAAGATGGGATGGCTCTTTTTGAGCAAATCAATTTTGAAATTCGTGTGCTCATTTTTTAAACTTAATCGGATCGAATAGCTTATTGGAGTTTACTGGGCTCTGATATCATGTTAAGTTTTGAAGTCCATTTTGATAAAGTCAACTTTATTAAGAGGAGTACCCTAAAATCTATTTAAATTGGTCAATATTTTGGTATTTAATCGATGTGAGATTTATTCCCTTGACAAAATGAAAAGGAAAAAAAAATAGAAATTTATAAAATGATATCTTGCTGATATGATTTCACATAACACAATTTTGACTACTTGGATCTCTACACTTATTTATAATGTAACAAATTTTTTTGCAATGTTTAAAAGTCAACCTAGGCGGGTTGATACTCGATAGATTGAACTAAATAAAATCGATAAAAATAAAATAAATAAATCATTGAAAAGATACCACCAACCAGTGAGTTCCAGTCAATTTTAGCAATAATAGACCTAATCGTGAAATTCGTGAACTTTAAAGTTTTAATTTAAGAGTGTATAAATAAAATAAGATGACGAAGAAATAAATGTGGATCAAATGGGAATCGAGTGAACTCATTCGCTCTGGTCTTCTCTATAAAATATATGATTTAGTAGCCGAGAAAGGTATAGATTGATCTTTCTTCTCTAGAACATCTGGAAACTGAGTGGACAGAAAACTAATTGTTTCAACCTAAAAAAAAGGGGGAATTCTCCAGCGAAACACAGAATGGAAGACTCCAACTTCCCTCGTACCCCCTTAAGTATCCGTTCCCTAGTGGTCGCTTTAAACTGTTTGCTTATGGTTATAGTCCTTAGCGAGCCTCCCCCGAATAAGGCCCGCTCTTTCTAATTCACACGTGCAAGGTACGGCATCCACCCGAATGAGGAGAGGATTTCCCTCAAACAAAGATAGGCGTGTCATGAAATATTATGAAGTCATCCCTATTTTGTTTTTTTGTTTTTTTTGATGGGTAAATGCGTAATATATTGATAAAAAATCATGTATAGATATACGGGCATATCCGGGCAATCAAAGATCAAATACAAATACAAGTACACGGGGCATACCCAGGCAACCAACAATCAAGTGTTTATAGAATTACACTGGCCATATCCGAGCAAACAAAAGGAACAGGTGTACAAACAAAAGGATTTAGCAACCTAACGTCATAGACTCAAAATGAATCAAAACATACTGATACAAGGAAAACGTGACTTTGTATATGTGTGTTTTAATTCATCTAATAATACTATCAACTTGTAGAGTAAGGTCCTCAAAGATCTTCTTATTTCGAGCCGTCCACAAATGGTAAACAGTGCTAGCAAAAGCAATCTTCTTAGCTATACTATGCCAAGTCGTCCCTCTAGCCTCCTTTTTAATGCACTTCAATGCAATAGGGATAGTAGACATAAAGTGTCTAATGCCAAGCCATTTATGGATCTTTCCCCAAACGTGTGCACTAAACTGAAGGTGAAGAATAAATGATGGTCCGTCTTTGTACCAGTGGCCAACTCCACAAAAAATGCAATTTAAGTCAATCTCCAAGTGCCTTGAAGTCACCCCTATTTTGTTGTCTAGGGATTGTTGATGGTAGGCATAGGGAATGTCTTGTGCTACGCTTTTCCTCGAAGTGAAGCAACTTTTGTAACCCAAGTTTAGAAGGAGAATGATGGCCCCACTTGCTTTCTTCAATTTCGAACTATTCCGATTTAAAATGACCAAAGAACTGAGCAGTGACTGAGGGGGACTGGTTCTTTGATAAACTGCATTAGCATCCCAAACTATATTCGTCAACCAACAGTCGTATCGACCTCGCCTGAGATAGGTGCGTGAGAAGACGAAGAACAGCAAAAAGAGGGGGAAAAAACAAAAAACGAGATAGAGAGAATCCATTTCAATTATATCCATCTTGTCTCAAAATTCACCCAAGAGACACGAAATCCTGAGTAAAGACTACTCAAGGGAGTCTCGAACGAGGAAGTTTGTAAAATGTGCAGAGATTGAAAAGAGCACCAACAGAAAAATCACAATGCTCAGCCGCAAGCAAAGATCATATAGCCTAACTAACTACAAGTGTTGAAGGAATGAATTCATGAGTCAGCTTTTCAAGTATTGAGTTAATTCCCCAAATAGTCACTGAACTTTGTCAAAAGTTTTCAGGGGGTTATGGAACTTCAAAACTTTCCTAAATAGTCACTGAGTTTTCCAAAAATTTCTGGGAGGTCACTAAACTTCAAAACTTCCCTAAATAGTCATTCAACTTTACAAAAAGTTCCTAAAGGGTCATTCAACTTTGCAAATTGGGACCCCATACATCACTGATTTAGTGACTTCCTAAGAACTTTTTGCAAAGTTCAATGATTATTTAGGGAAGTTTTGAAATTTGGTGACCTCCTTGAAATTTTTGGCAAAGTTCAGTGACTACTCAAGGAAGTCTTGAAGTTTAGTGACCTCTTGAGAACTTTTGGCAAAGTTCAATGATTATTTGGGTAATTAACTCCTCAATTCTATACCATCAATAGGAAAAACTAAATGGGAGGAGAATGGTTTCTTGCCCCCGTGATTCGTGATGTTTTTTAAGTTTTTTGGAGTCCTCATGAATTTTGATTATATTTCCCATCATAAGTATGAGTTGGGAAGCGAAATAGAAACAAATACCCAATCTTCCATCAGTGTCAGCAGATCTAATTGCAGATTCAATACCTAGCCCTTTAATATGTACATATCCTAAGTAGTAGGTGATTACGTTAGAGTTTTCATTCAATTATCTAATTGAAGATGAAAAGGCTCATCTGTCGAGGAACTGAGGTTCTCATAACGAGATACGAATAAGTGTTAGAGAATCCTAGACCTATGATAAGTGCTCTGTGAACATAGTGGATAGATATGCCTCTTGGTTTATGTTGATATATTAATTCCTTCACACATAAATTCCCTTAATGAATATATCTGAGCTTTAGGCCTTGTTTAGTCTCGTGGAACTAAGCCCTTGTTTGGTGAAAATTAAATTCCAGATGATAATTTATGTCAATGTTAATAATTAATTTTAACCAAACATTTCATTGGATTTACAAATTTTCAACAACATATTTTATCAGCTTTTATCAAAATCTATTAAAAATCTGATTTTAATCTCTATCAAATAGGGGCTAAACTTCCATCCAACTCATATATACAGGTTTTTCAATAATCTCGATCCTTCTTAAGACCTTCATAGAAAGGTCATAATTCCTGAAAGTATTGATTCATAGACCACTATGCTTTCATGCCCTTTTGATTGTTCTCAATTCAACCATTGTAAGTTGGGAAACCAAAAAATGCCTTTTGTTTCTTCCTTTTGTCAGCTATTCTCCGATTTGTGGGCCAATAAGATCTTTGAGATTAACAAGAAAGTTAGGTTGCTTGTACCTTGTCTTTACTGAACCTTGCAAAGGAGATATAGGCAGTCAAAAATCAAAATTGTGGTTGTTCCCTTTCCCATTCGCTCGTGGAAGAAAGTTAACCTCTCAAGGTCTATTCTAGAAAGTTCTTTGGCCCACCTTGTCAAGAAGTGCATAGAATTCTCCAGGTAAGCCAAGATCAGTTGAGCTACAAGCAATGATGCCATGTGGTGAATCAAGTCAACAATGCGGTTACTGCAAAATAGAGAATTATATTGTAATTGCAATATATAATCCAATCGAAGGATTTTCGCAACACCGGCCACACATTAAAGCAATACATTAAAGCATCATAGCTTACATCACAGCTCGGCACACTCAATAGTAGTGACAGTTAATGGAGCAATAAGGAAGCGTAGGATTCCAGGAAAAAAATGTTTGAAGACTCACAATCTGGCTGGAATTGGTGGGAGAAATTGGGGGATATTGGATCTCTAATAATAACAAATTCTAACCAAAGTAATGATTACAAATCAGCATGAAGAACCATCGACTTTTCCAAAGCAGATTTTATGGAATAATATGTTAAGAAAGCAAATTTTAAGGGATGATATGTTAACAAAATAGATTTTATGGGAACAAGTCTTATGGAATTATGGAAACTGATTTTATGAAATATATGCAGATTCCATGGATTCATAAGATTTTGTGATTTACAGCTACATTATGTAATTTGCTAAAATACTCTTCCTTGTATTGCCTAAGTGTTCACGTTGCCATCATAGAAAATACGAAACATTAGCTATAAAACAAATTCTGTCTTTTTTCAGTTTCTCCTTAGAAACTGCTATGTTCAAGTATGGCCATCTTCCTTATTTTCATTTTCTTTAGTAACTTAAGTTGAAATTATACTCAAAGTTATATCACATAACTTGATAAAATTCACATACTCGTACATTACCTCAACTTACCACCTGATTTTGATATGATAGATAAGTTTCATTCTTTATTCAAAGTATATTTAAATTGAAATTATAGTCATATTAGATTTTGAATTAAAATTGGTACCAAGAAACGACCTTCACAAAGTTGCTGCTGAGAGCGATTCTAGCCTTAGCGTCGAAAATGCTTGACCTGCAAAATGCAATTTTAGAATCTGATCAGGCGATGCAAATCTTGAAGATGGTGATGGTCAGACTTGAACTATTGGAAAATGGGAACTCGAATGCAATAAGTAGCATACCTCACAAGTATATAAACACCGACGGTCTAACATTTCAAGTCTATGCCACAAAATTCACCTTACTTTCCTCTGTCACTTTGATCCAAAAATTTTTGATAATAGTATGGCATTACTTCACCTACAATAAAACACTATATGACTAGTGACTGTTGTATCCACAAGATAGTGAAGTTTAAATTCACAGCTACATGCATGTATATACCTTGCGGATTGTACATCGCGATTGTTGAGGACGGACGGATCAAATTTGTAGTCGGTAAATGTTGTGAAAGAGATAATGGTGTGGGCATTGATCGTAGTGAAAATGAAAGTGGTGTCGGCATGGAGTCGTGCAAATATGACGTTGGGGTCAACATGGAATATTGGTGAGGTGGCCGAATGTTCGTTCCGCCGTCAACCATATTGCTATTGCTGTTTCTTGATTTCTTACTTGTGCTTTTGGACTGCCTATGCATCGAAGTTAACATACATTCATCCTTTTTGTAAATATGAAATAAACATTAGAACTTACCTTCGCTTTATTCGAGGCCGTCTCCAACGGGCTTTTTCTCCGAAGTTTTTTTGGCGCACCCTTTCGTTGGGCCAATTTTGGGTCCAGTACATTTTCGCTCGCAGTTGCTGAACCATCCTCACAGTGAATGGGTCCGAGTTGGTTTTGTTGGGGAATTGAATTACTTCGAGCACTTGATTTTGTGGTCATAAGCTCTTCACGTTGACATTTAATCCACTCCATTATCGCTCGTGACCGCGATTCATCGTCTGCAGCAAGGTCCGCCACCTCCGCAAAAGCCTTAGACATCTCTTCAAATCTCAACTATGAGGGAGTACTAACTAACCCAGCATAGTTTACTGCCACCCTCGTGTGTGCTCTGATAACATCTTTCCTCCATCTCCGCAGTATGTATCTATCTGGAATGTATGTGACATCGTTGCAATTAAGCACTGTGATAGCATGCCTGCACAGTATTCCCCGAAATTCGAACAAACGGCAGCTACAAACTATGTCGCATTTATCTCTCTGGAATGAGACGGCGAATGTTTTCCTCCTACGACCACCTTCGTATATAATACACTCCCGTACATTATAGGTCGTATAAGAACTTCCTTCTGTTGTAGATGCGACATCGCAGTATACCTTTCCCGTGAACTCTTCTTGAACTTCCCTGAGTTTTGAAATTGTGTAAACCGATCTATACTGTTCCTCCATCTCGAATTGTGTTGCGCATGGTACCATTTGAGAAAATGACTTAAAATCAGCTTGGAATTCCTTCTCAACCTTATTCCTTAATGCACGCTCATATTGTTCGACAAACGGCTTTAATGAAGTCTTAGAATGCACATACCCATCGAAGAAGGCATTCATGCTCTCACTTCTCTGCGTTGTTGACATCCCTGCCCAGAAAATGGTTTTCAAGAAACAGGGAACCCAACGCTCTCTGTTCTCGTACAATCCTGACAGCCAATCATTTTCATGCAAACCATACGTATCAATCGTTGCAATCCACCCATCTTCATAGTCTTCTCTGGACTGCGAATCATACACCAATCCATGTATAGTTGTAAATATCGAAGCCTTATCCACGTAATATCCAAAATTTTCTAGGAACTTCTTCAAAATATGCCACAGACACCACTATGCTTGGTATTTGGAAACACAATCTGAATTGCATTTTGCATAGCCCTATCTTGATCATTAATTATTCCATGTGGAGCTATGCCATGCATAAACTAAAGCCACGTCCTGAACAGCCAAACAAAAGTATTCGTGTCTTCATTTGATAGGAGACCACAACCAAGCAGAGTTCACTGCCCATGGTGATTGACGCCAACAAAAGGGGCGAATGGCATATCATACTTATTGGTGAGATAAGTGGTACCAAAAGTGACCACATCGCCGAACTCCCTGTATGCCTGCCTACATCTGTTATCTGCCCAGAATACATTTCTAAGTCGTGACTCATCATCCAAATCTATACTAAAGAAAAATCCTGTACACTGTGCTTGCATTTTTGAAAAGTATGATTGTATTGCTGCAGCATCTCCCTCTCCAAGTCTTAATCGCCTCACTTGTTCTATATAGTTCCGACAGTCTTTCTCAATGCAAGTCATGTTCTCATATCCTTCTGCTTCTACAACTGTAGAATTATAGCTTTTATGCAAAGGAATTCCTGTCAGATCATTCACTTGAAGCTTTCGTTTCACATTTGAACTCAAGTATCGGTTGCATCGGAACAACCTGGACTTCGATGGACTTGTTTCATGATTGTGCTCGAGATGGACCGTATTAATTCTCCAGTTTCCAAGAATATCACAAGATGTAGATATCCTGGCTTTACAACCCATCTGCACTATCGGTTGTGGCTTCACTAAATTGCCACTATTACCAGGTATTCGACCTTCACCACTGCATGTGAACGTTACATATCTCATAACTCCGTCATCCCCCTTTTTCGAATTCCGTTTCTTAACCGGAAAACCAATGACATAAGCATACTTTTTGTAGAAGTCACACATATCCTTTTCATCTTTATATATCATACCCACCTCAGGCGCATTTACATCATCTCCCACTAATGTGTCGCCTTCCACTAAGTTCGCGGACTCGGTGACAATCTCATTATCATCTTCAACCAAAACATCATCATGTTGATCTTGCAAATCATCCATACTTTGTGAGCTGCGATAAAAACAATTTCACGTTTAGTATCAGTTGTTGTAACTCAAATAATTCCCCTTAAATCTTAATTATTTTATTTTTTCTTTTAGTAAATAAAGTAAACATTACAAACAAGAAGTTCATGCACCATGTTAAAATTTGGTGAGAAAAGTTATGATTTTCTTTTGTATGTTTCTTGGGGATCCAAAAAGATGGTAAAATTGGTGAACCGACAGCAAATAACCAAAATACAACACCTCTTATTGAATTGGAAAAGCAACAACTAATATGTCACATCTTCAAGAGCTAACCAGAGGAATTGCATAACAAATGAGTCTTCAAACACATGAAAAACATAAAATTACAATTAACAACAACAAAACAATGCACAATTGTCTTTTTAATTTACACGTTTCATATCCTAGACAATAATAAGAAAAAAATAACAATAAATTCCCACTAGACCTTATCAATTCTGAACAGGAATTTATTCTATACATAGAAATAAACATCTTCCGCATGTAAGAGTAGAACTACACAAAACTATACCATAACTGTTCAATTCTAGTTCACTATGGCTTAATTGTTTATTTAATTACAATTCACGAACTTGAGATATTCAGTACTCGATAATACATATTTTACAAACATGAAAGGCATTACTCAACAACCGAAATCAGTGGCAGGGATGTGGTAAACTGGCAATGAATAACTCAATATAAAACCTCTTCTTGATTTGGAAAAGCAACAAGTAACATATCCATGTCCTAAAAAACTATACAGAAGAAATCATGAGGAGGAGCCTTCAAACACATGAAAAGTAGCAATTAACTAAACAGTACAATAATCATTTTAATTTATATGTTCATATCATAAATAATAAAAATAATAGAGAAAAAAGCAAATTGCACAAAAACTAAAACTGAATTCCTACTTCCAAATTTTAAATACATTTAACAAAATCCATCAACTCGGCTTGACTCAGCAACAAACATTCCAATTAATTGCAATTTTCCAGAAATTTAAGCAGAAATGTGCAATTAATTACGGAAAACAAGGTGAAATTTACCCATCTCAACTCACTCACCGTCGAAGCCGTTGTCTTCTTTTCCGTCGCCTAACGTTACCTAAAAAATCTTGGCTTGCACGGAAGTTGGTACTGTCTCAGATGGTGGGTTAGGTCGCTGAATTTTGGAAATGGTTTTCGGTCGACTGCAAAAATAGAGAGAGAAAGAAGCCCTTTTGTCTAATTTTTTCCCGCTTAATTTTATTTCCCACCAACAATTAGCAGCAGTACCATTATTGATTAAAAAATAGATTGTCAAATGAAAAGGTACGCAAGTCAGCATGCCACGTGTGAATTTTCAAATTTCTGTATTCCACCCTGTTTGCAAGCCTGTCACAGTAGCTTAATTGTAAAAATATATAAAACTAGTTAGCATGCCACGTATGAATTTTCAAATTTCTGTATTCCACCCTGTTTGCAAGCCTGTCACAGTAGCTTAATTGTTATTTACCATAAACGAAACTGGATAGTACAAGAAAAATCATAGCAAACAAATAATGTCAAGAGCGAAATTTATTCAAATCCAAGATGAATATTAGAAACTTGAATCTGCTTTCCGTATAGTAAGGCCAGAGACTGCACCAAAATTTGTACCATTTTGCACCAAATCAAAATTATTCTCCAACCATTACACCAAATGAATAGTGCTTTATTAGTTTATTCATTTTTTCGATTTTTGACAATGTATTTATTTTAAAAAATTATTTATTTATTTATTTTATAACTATATAATTACTAAATCATAACTTCGTTAAATTAACAAATATATTAATTGCCAAATTATTCACGTATTTTATATATTATGTTAAATTGATAAAAATAATTGATTATATTATTAATTTATGATAAACAATTACGTTGAATTTACGAAAATAATAATCTTTAATTAAATTAAACTTTAAACATCAAATTAACAATTTCGCTAAGTATTATTGATTATATTATTAAATATAATAAACTTTAATAATATAATTAATAGTATAATTAATTATTATCATCATCGTCATCATCATCATCATCATCATCATTATTATTATAAAACGAAAATGACACAAATACCCTTAACCATTATCTTTGAAAAATGAAAATAAGGGCAAAACGAACATTACTTCATTTGGTGCAAAAAATGGTGTGGTGCAACACTATTCATGTTGCATCATTTTGTACCAAAATTTGGTACAATGATTGGAGAAGGTTTGCACCAAATTTTGGTGCAATTTGGTGCAATAGGGCTTGCATTGGAGATACCCTAACCCATTTAGCTAGTCACATTTCACATCATTCAGAATCCTCTACCTTTTAAATTATTCAAACAATATTTAATGAAGAAGCTGAGACAAAACTAAAATATAGCAACCCCTTTGACAAAAAATTAAAGAACAGTAAACTGGAATGAATTTAACCAATACAACTTTGAATAAATGCTTCAAAAGAGACAAAATTATAATTTTCATATTCTATAAAATCTTCATTGTGTTTCCATTGGCATCCAAAAGATATTTAAAACTTTCTATTCACATAGCTTCCATTAAAGAAGATACTTTGGACTCGGTAAATGACAGATTACTTGTCAAAAATGAAGCATAAAACTGGCATTAGTATCAACAACAATCAACCGTCAAGACATCAAAATAAATACGTACATAAATATTTCCACATGTGGGCAAGTACGAAAAAACATAAAAAAAAACCTGTATGCCTACAACGTTGGCAGCATCAACCCGACAGTCCATCCCAATAACAAACCAGCACCAACTAGGCCCAACCCTAAAGCAAAAACCATTGCGTATTTGCTAATATTATATCTATAACGAGGTTTCTTGGTCCATTTTCTCCAGGTAGATTTCTGCCAGGTCTTTCGTATTTTCCTAGTTCTTTGAGGCGTCTGAGGTAAGACAGTTGATATCGGCTGGCTACAGTTGCTCTTCATCTGGATATAAATGTTCTCAAGTTGCAGAAGATGGAACCACTGCTTATAAGCAAAAAGCTCTGATGCTTGTCGAAAGACTAGCTTCACAATATGTTCCTTCTCCACATGTGCGAGTTTTGCTGCATTCTCGGCTTCCCGAGCACGCGTCTGAGAGAGACGTAGTGCATCCAGAAGTTGAGCCTTGCTTGGATCATTCCCATATGCATTCATTTCAGGTGCCACTTTTTGAGTTGGACTGCCACTGTTTTTCAGGTCAAACTCGTGATAATAAAATTTCGACATAAAATAGGATAAAATGTTGATGCAAAAGAAAAATGAAATAAAGTGATATGCTACCAAACAATTAGCTGCTGACAATGAAATAATGCAAATTTGGAAGATTATTTACTTTCACAAGTGTTTTAAGATCTCTGAGATTTCTTTATCTTACCATCAATGCACCCTCAACAAACAGCATCTTCTGTATCTTATTCTTCGTAAAATCGATTCCAATATTACTATCCCACAAATACTCTGTTAACAGTCGACAACTGGATAAGGAACAACAAATAATTATTTATTGAACCGTTGGAATAATAATAGCCCACTATGACATTTGTCTCTGATTGTAACATGTTCAAACTCCAAGCCTCAAGCCATTTGGCTGTCATAATCTCCTTTTCAAATTCTAATTTCCCAGCAACAGGAATTTGATGTTTAAATAAAGTTAATAACTCGAAGTTCCTAAAGGCTGATCTATCAACCAGATAAGATGGTATTTTTCTTTTTTTTTTTCCCCAGACAAATTGTTATGGATTAAGCCTCAATCCCTTCTTATGAGAGAAATAATAAATGGAAAAGCAGTTAGAAAACATGCAAAGCATATACAGAGTTTAGTAGTTCAACCTCAATGTGAGATATAAGTTCAATTGCCACTGCAGTATCGTTAGCACTCACACAGTCCAATACAAATCACTTAATAAACAAAAACTACCTAAATGATACTGATATTTGTATAGAATTTTTAAAACCATAAAGTAAGCCAGTGAAAGGATTACCAGATGAAATAAGTTGAAACTGACAAAAGTACAGACAAAGACAATACCTCATTGATTTGTTTGCATTAGACAGTGGTCGACATTCAACATTTGCCCAGTGTTTTTTGCTCGCACTTTCTGATTTAAGACTGTATGGTGTAGGAACAGTTGAATTCTTGTAACTCCCCATGTTGAGCTTCAGGTCTAATGACGACTTGTAAATTCCCCCACAACTAAAACTGCATACATTAGTATCAAGGTTTTTCCTGACACGAGTATTCTGAGGACGAGGAAGATCACAATTTTCGATAACATCAAGCGACCTCTGAGAAACCAATGAAATCAATTCTTCTGTATCTGCAGTTCGCCACCATGGCACATTTTTCTCGGCCCCAATACAAGATGACTTCAAATCCAAATATAGATCGCTTGACTTCTTGGGAATTTTACAATCAACAAAATCCATGTTGGCTAGTTCACTGAATTCTATTGCTTCTTCATGCTCAAAAGGATATCTGGTATTCTTTGAGTACAAAGAACTTAACTCTTGCTCTTCAACCCTATAATCTTTCTTCTCACAAGTTGTGAACTTGCTAGAGTGATTATCAAGGGAAGACTCTTGGTAGGCAGTTTCATTCTTTGAGTAGGCACCTGAGTTTTCACGGGTTTCAAAGGTCTCCATATTCATTGAACTATTTTGATATCCACAATTTGGTTGCAGCTGCAGCCACCATCTTGAACTGGGGGATAAATTAAAATCTGACGAGTTCTGATTAAGAGGCAGAGGAGTTATCTTAGGAATATCTTCACTGTCAGCTATATTTGTGGATCCTACATCGTCTAGTATAACCGGTGGGGCTGTTGTCGAGCAGCAAGCTAACTTTGGAGCTCTTTTGGCATCCTCTTGGACCAAGTATCGGTTAGCTGTTCTCTGCCAAGCAGCCCTAGCTTCTGCCAGCGCCATTACTCACCCATTCTTCAGCAAGCTTTATCATCCAAAAAGAATAATCTCTCAGAAAACAGGTTTCAAAATTCAAAAGTGTATGTATAATGAAAGAGAGTATTAGAAAATTGTAGCCAGATGAAATGCAACCTATAACGGGCAGACGTGAGCATGAATTCGTACATTTCATCAAAAATTTCAGATACAGAATTGAAAATATAATGAACTTAAATCATAGAACAGAACAACTTGAAGCATATATAATAAAACACGGGCATATTTCTCTCATTAACAGCAATAGTGAGAAATAAGGAACAACAAAAATTAAACCTGCAGAGAATTAATTCTTACGTAAAATTGAGGATCTCTTTTTTTGAATTTAATAACTTATGAAATATATTCTCATTCGTATTTGGTGACTTGAAATGAAGAAACAAGGTCCTTCAGAAAATAAGAAACACTATCAGTGAATAATGTTTATCATGCATCTACAAAATAAGCCATCTTGAGCATCAATCTCAATAAGAAAGCTAGTTCTTAACGTTCATACAATATGAAAAATAGGAAGTCAGAATCCACATCTTATCAAGTAGACAAAAATGTTTTGCACGCCATTTTCATATAAGTTCCAAGAGAGTCAACACAGGCCATTGACAGTTTCAAAGCAAAAAACGATACTTGACACTTTCTTTTCTTAATATATCTCTTTTTAACTATTATATAAAAAGATCTAAATCACAACAATGAAACACATGTTACACGTCTCCAAGACGACAAGAACCAATTCAATAAACCAACAATTCACATTGCCTGTTGACACCAAAACCCACTAATTCACATATAAACCAAGCAATTTGTCGATACCAAAATCTAATGATACACATCATGAAATTATCAAATTATGTATCCAATGTATCCAATAACACTAATGTCAACCTCCACAACTCTAATTTCCTTTCCCAAGATACTAATAACCTTAACAAAGTAGTAAAATAGTAAGAGAGATACTACAAACAAATATGAAAAGAAAATTCAATACTTAGTTTCCAGCAGTTCAAGACAAGTCTTTTGACTCCAAAATCCACAACTAAGCTACTTTACATACAGAAGGCAAAAATCCAAAGTTCTTCGTATTCAACAATCAAGATATAATTATTGCAGGACAATTATCATTTATCATCTTTATTCAGGAAATTGTCAACTTATTAACTTAGTTTTCATACTATTATTCACCAAAAGAACAGAAGAGAAAAACCCCTTCCACCCAAACAAGTAAAAATCCACTGTTACTAGAAAGTAATAAAAGAAAACTGGGATAGAACTAAGAACTGTAACACATATATTTGAAACAAAGTTAGTTGGCATGTAATTCGAGAAAGAAAAAAAGAAAAACCTGAACAATAATGTAATTGGAGTGGATAAGATCATGAGAGAAATAGAGAAATGGGCAAATGGGTTTGGATCTGAATTATATGTTTTAACTTGTTTTTCCTTCTTTTTGAAGTTTTGGGTTTTCTTCGGTGTCATATTGTTTTCATTACAGTGCTGTCGGTTTGTACATTTGTACTTTTACATGTGTGGCCATGTCGTATGGTAATTTTATTTTTTATTTTTCATTAAATTCACAGAATCCAAATGGAGTAAGCATTATTCTGTTTGTCGTTTCTGCTCTGAAGTGGTGGCAATTTCAAATTGGGAGATGTATATGTACCAAATCCTTTATCAAATGGATGATCAAATTGACAAGTGTCGCATCCTTATTGGAATGGACTAGCGCCTCTCCAATAGGGGGCGTCACTTGTCAATTCGATTAAGTTAATTTATATGAATTAATATGTATTAGGCCATTTCTAGCGCTGCACCAAAATTTGTATCATTTTACACCAAATCAAAATTTTTCTCCAACATTGTATCAAAACTTACACCAAATGAACAGTGCTTTATTATTTTATTCATTCTTTCGATTTTTATTAATGTATTTATTTAAAGAAATTATTTATTTATTTATTTTATAACTATATAAATTAATAAATCATAACTTCATTAAATTAACAAATATATTGATTACTAAATTATTCACGTGTTTTATATATTATGTTAAATTGACAAAAATAATTGATTATATTATTAATTTATGATAAACAATTACGTTAAATTTACAAAAATAATAAATTTTAATAATATACACTTTACGTTAAATTAACAATTCCGTTAATTATTATTGATTATATTGTTAAAAATAACAAACTTTAATAATATAATTAATTATTATTATTATTATAGAACAAAAATGACATAAATATCCTTATTCATTATCTTTGAAAACTGAAAAATAAAAACAAAAAAGACATATTGCACCATTTGGTGCAAAAAATGGTGTAATAAATAGTGTTGCACCATATTCACTTTGCACCATTTTGCACAAAAATATTGCAAAGTTTAGTATTGTATTGGATTAACTCTGCTCCAAAAAATAGTGTAATGGTGTTAGCATTGGAGTTGTCCTTAAAAGAGAGAGAGAGAGAGAGAGAGAGAGGATCAATCTATTTTGGTCCATGTCGATTCTATATTACACAAAAAAAACTTATTGGTTCCATGTGAACAACCTAGTTTAGTCCAATTTTCATCAAAATCAAATAAAATCGGAGCGATCCGAAGAATACTTACATCCTATGGAATACAATAATTTTAAATATGATTGTTTAGACGAGCAAATAATACAAAAGAAGATAACTGATACGTCGAATCATAGTACAAAATTAAGAATTTGGAAGGACTAGGGACCACCTTTTCTTCTCTATGCAATCGAGGAATTGGTGGAATTTTTTCTAATATAATAGATATTTTATTTTTACAGATAAAGATAAATAATGAAAGTGGCCTTTGAAAAGATAAGAGTTACAAGTAACATAATTTTCAAAGTGGGACAATCTTATTCGTTGTTCATCATGACTCACCAGCAATCAATTTCTATTAATTATTTCTTTATTATGGGAACAATGGAACGGTGAATTTATTATTATTATTATCATTATTATTATTTTAAATTTTAAGAATGTGTTGTTAAATAATTAAAAAATATATAAATTTATGTACAAAATATTTTATTGTAAATGTGTGGTTGAAACTAAGTTTGAGGCGGGGGGGAGGGGCGTGGGGGATGAAGAAGGTTTTGTTGCAAGAAGATAATAGTACAAAGTGTACTAAACAATGTTTTCTTGGCTTGTAGTAGTAGGAAAAATAACAGTAAAAAAAAAAAAATATATGTATATATATATATAAAGAAATAGTGTACCAAACTATGTTTTTCTATGTTTCTTGGGGAAGTTAACGCTCAGGTAATGTGCAAACCCACATAATTTAATTTTATTATTATTATTATTATTATTATTATTATTATTATTATTATTATTTTACTCTTTTTCAATCAAACTGCTATGAAATAAATCATAGAAAAAAATAAAGGAGATTAGTCGAATCGTCTTCTATTCATATTGCTATAATTAGGTCCCTGTTTGAGCCATATTTTCATTCCACTAAAATGAAAAATGTGACCATTGCAGCTTCAGTCGGGTCCCACACGTTAGAAAAGAGGTCAACAATTGCGGCTGAAAATAATTGAAAACGGTACAATTTTTCATTTTTTTGGCCAAATAATTTGGCTCAAACAGAGGCTAGGTTTTATACATTTCGTGGACTAGTTGAATAAGAGAGAAATATTTTCACAAACGACACTGTGAAATGTAGTTATGTTCACAATTCTGCAAAATATAGAAAATGTACACACTAGTGGCTTGTGACAAATGGTCCAATATTTTGATTTTAATGACTATTTATTTGATCTCGTTATAAGTACTTTCTAAATTGTTCATTAAGTCAAGTCATATCATATTATCTTATGACTTTTCCATTATTTAATTCAATCAATTCGACTAACTTGGCTCGTGCTTAAGTTAATGTGAAGTTAGTTCACAGCCAAAAGCACAACCAGACACAAAGCCAGAAACACTAAAGGGAAAGAGCGAGACATCGTCATCTATTGATAGGCAGTCGTAGCAGAAGAAGTCCAAAGAAAAAACGAGCAAAATCTTGAACATTTTGTGGTTTAGTTTTTTGAATTTTGTAATATTTTGCAAATAGTTAACATCTTTTTGTGTACTTAACTGATGATGACGCACATCTGAAATTTCTAATAGAAATATTAAGCATTTTTTAATAAATAGTTGTTGTGAATATTTTAATTTGGATATTATTTATTGTAATTTGTACATCCACCCAAATTCTGCCTTTGTGGGCATGTGAGAAATCATTTTTCTGGATTCAATTTCGTCTTGGATGCTTTCATCTGCATCAGTTAAAGAGTTGAACTTTTTCTGACAGTTTACTGTGGGGTTGGGATGAGAGAGAGAGAGAGAGAGAGAGAGAGAGAGAGAGATTGAGATTAATAAGGGAGAGAAAACTGAGAAATACATAGCATTTCTCACAGGTCATTTACTGGGTTTCTCAATGTGCAGGAGCCCCACATATATTAAAAAATTACGTGGGGGTTCACGTATGTGTGTAGTCTGACAGAACCTGTAAATAAGTCTAGCATCTCTCGAGAAAAATAAACAGTGAAATCTAATAATTGAAGTGGAAAATGTGAACTATTGAAATTACCCCTTATTTAATGGTCAAACAACTCAAATTTTACATTTTTAGGGTCAAATGACAATTGTAACAATTTTCGTCAGCTTGTCCTTTTGGTGCGATTATTTCAAAGGTTTGAAACTTTGGGTGACACATTAAATGATTGAGTAAAGGTCGAGGCAAAATGAAAGGTTTGAGACCGTAACAACAATTCTCCCTTTATTTGATACATGTACAAAAGCTTATAGGTAGAATTTTAACAAACTTATTTCTTGCATCATTTTCGCAAATCTGAAAAATATAGGAATAATTATTATTTACTTGAGCTATTCCTAACCACAAAAGCTGATGCAAGCATTTGTTCCGAGTCGCCAAGACACAGAAGAGCCTATAGGAATAATTACTTTTATTTTTAGCCTTTAACGTTCAATAGGCTGTTGATTTTGAATTACGTAAAATTGGCTATGAAAGTTCCACTTTAGCTGTTAGAAGTATCATAATATTATAATTAAGTTATTGTAAAGATATCAATAAATTTAACAAAAGCATACAATATGTCCTTGTCTGGACTCCATTTTTCAAAAAATGCAATTTAAAAAAAAAAAACTCATTTTCAATCACACATTCTCCCATAAAACAATATTATACATAAACACAAAATTTTCCTTATTTTTTATCCGCACATCCTCAAAAAAATCACTATTCCAAAATAGATTTTCCCCCAAATCTTATTTTAATGGAGCCCAAAGGAAAATGTCCAACTCTCACCATCGGCAATAATCATTCAAATTAAAGATAAAAAATACAAAATATAAAACATCCTTTTCCCTTTTTCAAGAATTAGAAGACAGTATGTTTCTTCTCTTTGGAACGGTTCTTCCTCCAATAAAGCCTAGTAAACAAAGACGACGTATTAAGTTGTGCTTTCAGAATGAAATAATAACTTTCTCAAACCACAAAGAAAAGCTTATGCATTGACTTTTTCCCAAGTCCAAATTTTCTCCCCTTCAGCACTATGTCCTGCTGTATAAGTTACCCTCTCATTGCTCTTCAAATTTAAATAGTCAACCTGTGAGCAAGACAAAATCAGTAAAGATCAAAGAGTCATGAAGAAATATGTAGAGAAAAAGAGCATAAAATTCAAACCTGATCAGGGTCAAGAACAAGCAGGCAAAATACACCAACTGGACTAGTTGAAGGATCCAAAGTTGGAACCTGAGATGGTTGTTCATCCACAGAAGGAATTCCTGGAGTAGGATCCAAATACTGTAGTCTTGATTTAATAGAACTGGCAAACCAAGCTTTCTCTCTTTGCTGCATCATCGATGATCATGATATGAGAAGAAATTAAATTTTTACAATGACCGAAAATACAAGCATGTAATATCTATCCCAAACAACGTAACAGCTAAAATTGCTGTTGTGCATTAATTAAGTTATACTAATGTATTTTCAAGTTTCACCATATGTAGTGTTCATTTTAAGGCTAGCTCACGTGATTTGCACAATTTATTGAATTCCAGATGTAGTCAGTTAACGAGTGTATTGTTCGCAAAAGATGACATTTTTACAGAAACTGCAGAAATTACAAAGCATGGCACACAAAATACATTATTTTGGTGCTCAGAGCAAATAGCCAANGATGACATTTTTACAGAAACTGCAGAAATTACAAAGCATGGCACACAAAATACATTATTTTGGTGCTCAGAGCAAATAGCCAAATATGTTGGATGATAAAATATTTTTATTTTATATACGAAAGACTCCCTCAAACCAAAATTTCAACTATTGCGCTTAAATATTAATCTAAAGAATCCAAACACCTAAGTGGACATTGAGTGCATTTGATGTTTTAAGTTTAATGGCACTAAAGAAGCAGGTCGCAAGCATGGATAAAGGAGAGGGATTGTGCTAAGTTAATAGTCAGCACCAAGTTTTGTCAATTATTACATGAATCCTTACAAATGAGCTGAATAAAGGGGGAAAAGAGCATTAATGTAGCTGACTTCAAATTTATTAGGATAAGGGTTAGCTTGATATTTATTTGATTATACAATAGTTACTTCAATTAAAGACGAGGGCCAAGTAATGGTGTAATGTTAGATTGCTATTCGAAGTAAGATCAATGGCTGAATTTCAGAATCAGATTACTCATTTTGCAGAACATAGGATTTATAGTCACATAAACACACGTGCAAAGAAAATAAGAATATCTAAAATCACCTGAAGTTTTAGAGGATCGGGATTTGATCCATCAATGACATCTACTTTTCCATTTATTCGAAATTGCTCCCAAGAGTCAGTAAAATACCAGCATATCTGAAAATATAGCCAGCTGAACTAAAAAACATTTTGCAATGCAAAACCAATCAAGCTGCCTAACCAGTGTAACACACAAAATTTTAAGACCGGAATCATTTATGCACATGTCTATAAGGAAATGGGAAATTAAGTACCTCAGCGAATGAGCAATGCTTAAGATCATCAAGCTGCATTGTTCAAGTCGAACATAAATCAGTAAAATTCCTACTAATTCAAGCTAGTTCATTACATATCCTTAACTATGAAAAACCAGTACAATTTACTGAAGAAGAAGATTAAGGGCCTGTGTGACAAAGCTATTGATAAAAGTTTTAGCAGATTTTGATAAAAAGTTGATCAAATATGTGGTTGAGAAGTTGATAATGTTGTGATTTTCAAGAAATGTGTGGTTATAATTAAAATAAGAACAATTGAAAAGTTGATAAAATTTTAGCAAATTTTTTATCAAACAAGCACTAAATTTGGCACATACAAATTATGTACTCGTAAAATTCTATCCACAGGGTTGAAAACAATGAACACAATGCACTTATAAGGTAAAAAAAAAAA